CAAGAATCCTAAAGGCTCCATAATGTTTTATGTCTCATTGCCATGCACTGGAGGTTGCCCATGGGGTTACGTCAACCAGCAAACTCCCAAAGGTGCCGCCAAAATTGAGGGTCATGTCAAGCAATTTCGATCCTTGTTGAGAGGGTTCAAACGCATCCTCAATGACGTTTATTCTAACGATGTCAGAGTTGCTTTTGAACTTCCCAAAGCTTGTCGTTATTGGAAATGGCCTGAGCTATGGAGTTTCTTGACTAAGTACAAGATGAATAAATACGAATTCCATGGTTGTAAAATCGGTATCGAAGGGAGAAATGGAAAACCAATGAAGAAGCAATGGATTGTCGCCAGCAATATGCCCACTATCTCTGTTGTTGAGTTTTCAAATGTGATGGTTCTCATGAGCATGATGAAAGCCGTGGAACCCACTTGAAGGAAGCTGAGGGATACACTTTCATCTATACCGACGCCGTTCATGATGCATTCTCCGAACATGCCACCATGCAGCAGTTACTTTCGAGTGACTGTGCTGCTACATCCTCGCAATGAGCAGCCAGGCGGCAATGGCGCATCCCGCGAGGGATTGCGACCCGGCATGGAGGCGGTGGATGGAGAACATCGCCACGACTTCGGTGTGCACCAACGCCAAGTACCATAGAAACTTGGCGGCGACGGTGAAGGGGCTTTTGGAGGTGACTTCCGTGCAGTCGCTGATCCACACGTGGATCCAGGACCAGCCGCATTATTTGCGGCTGTTGACACCCCTGCTCACGATCTCCGAGCCCTACCTGAAGATCATTGGTGCTCCAAAGATCCCTGATCGCAACGCGGTGATCTACATCACCGTTGCGGACTCAGGACTTTCAATGGTGTCCGGAGGCAAACGGAAACTCCGCAAGTACGACTTCAAGGAGCGCCTCGATACTTCTCGCCCGGCGCGTGTCGGTGCATGGAAGTCCAAGATGCTTTGGGGTAAAGGCCTTCAGCAGCGTTGCAAGCAGATGGCCGCCCTTATCGATGAGGCGCGTACGGACTTCCCCACGACCACCATCATCCCGATGATCTACTGGAATGGCAACGAGTGGCACCTACCCGTACGACTCACCAGACGGTGACGCAATCCAGATGCTTGAAGACACGAAGAGGCATTTGTTGTGGACAATGAACTTCGCGGCCCGCAAGGGCTGCGCATGCCTCGGAGTGATGACTGGTGCAAGCAGCTTTCATTACGGGTTTTCCATGATTTGGGATCGCTACATGAGCGAGGTGCGGAATTTCATCATCAATGAACCCAGTCAGATGATGATCTACGTGGATGCTAACCCCTTCGTCGAGACGATCGATCTCCTGGACAGATACCACATGTGTTTCAGCGATGACAACATCATCAAAACGGTGCAGTTTATGCGAGGAACACATCACATGCTGTTGATGCTTTCGATTTTGCGCCCCGCAATGGGCAGCGTAGCCGAGCTGATCCGCACGCACGATTGCACTGTGCGTCCCATTGATCAGCACGAGCAACGCAATCGAGAGGACAGCACTGTGAACGTGGAGGTTCTCGCGTACTGCAAGGAGACGCTTACGAAATGTGATGTGAGTTTGTCCGAAATGATCGGCCAGCCGTTCACAAAGGAAGAGGTTGAAACCAGACAGACCCTCGACTTCGCCCCGGTGAATCCAGCTGACTTTGCTCCTGCCACCGATTCTGCTGGCACGGACATCGCCCAAGATGTTCGCTCGGCGCAAGCAGGTGCAAAGGCAGCTGCAGTGGCGAAGAAGGACGAGGAGGTCTAGAAGTCTGAGCCTCTTGACTCGTACGGCCGAAATGAGACTGATGGTCACTACGATTGTTGGGTTTACAGCACCTACAAGGGCAAGAACTATGTCGACTACGGTGAAGGTGCAAAACGGCTCGTGGTTGTCAAGCAGCCCAAGTTCGACTACGATCCCTCCGTCCGGCGCATTGATGATAGGTATCATCGATCACTGACCTGTATCTCGAAGATCCTCAGGGGCCGAGGTACAGAGGGGTGTGGCTATCGTATGGACAAGGACGGGTACATGGACCTTGAAGATTTGGGTTTCGCGCTCCAACATCCAATTCCATGGAATATGCAAAACATCATGGACATCTTCAAGCTCGACAAGAAGCAGAGGTTCATTGCTCTTGGTTGCCCGGACGCAAGCCGGTGCGGAGACGTCCCTTGTTCTCATTGGCTATTCAAAGTGAAAGCCTCCCAGGGACATGAGGAGTGGCTCAACATCGACGACTCCGGGATTGCCAAGCTGTGGTATGTCAACCCTGGAACCGACCTCGGTCGGTGGGCCGGCTGGAATGTTTGCGACGATCCGCCAACGGTGTTGTATCACCGCACGGACAAACGCAATTTTGCAAGCATCATGCGGAATGGTTTGGTGCCTGGCGGTGGAGACCAGCATGAGACCGGACGCCCACATGTTTACTTTGCAGACGTTCCAGATCGATCTTCGCATGGCGATTCGTGCCGGACTATGCTTTTTCAAGACGGAGTCGGATGGTGTGCTCACTCGGGACAAAGTCCCGAACTATGTCATCCTTTCAGTTTTGGACGCCACCAACGGAGACGTATGGTACACACGCACTGAGCAATCAGAAGCAGGTCTACAACAGTATCTGCCGATGATGACAGCTTGGGTATGAAGCGTGAGCAGGCGGTGGCCGACGACCGCAGCACGGCCTTGGAAAGAATTGCCGCTGCCTCACCCCGCGCCCCGCAAGGGGATGCGAAGAGGCAGAAGACATTCAATCCCATGGAGAATGTGGAAATGAAGGTCGCCAAGTTTTGTGTGCAATAATGATATCTTTGAGGGGCAGGTCAATTGCACTACGTGCGGAACGTTGTCTCCCCTCAGCCAACGCCTCTTGAAGGATCAGCAGCGCAACCAAGCAGCGCTCCAACCTCCTCAAGAAGATGGGACTGAGCACGCACATCACTGCAGAAGTCCTGGCGTCAGTGGGTACAAGCGACCTCCGCGAGGAGGATCGTATCAGCATCGTCAGAGGCCTGAACTCCCCGGACAGCGCCGTGATTCAGGAGGGGCGAAAGAAGCTGAAGTCCGCCCTGAAGAACGGCTATCATTCTCTCATCGACCGCTATGAGCTCGATTTGCAATACAGAGTGAGGATGATTGAGGCCGGGCGCCGGGAGGCGGAAATGCTTCGCATGGAGCTATGCACAAACCTGGTGCTAGCAGCTCCGAAACAGTCGCAAGCTCAGCGTACGCTTGGTGTTGGTTCAGGATCAACATCCGAGTCGCGAATCGCAAGGCTCGCGTACGTGAAGATGGAGCTTGAGTTTATGGTCCAGCAGCTGAAAGATGCACTGACGTCGCGTTGGATCATTATGGTCCAAGGAATGCCATATTCCCCCCGCGCCTTCATCCACATCGTGCTGGAGCAGGACAAGCCTCGCAGCATTGGTTGCTGGAATGGGTTGATTTTCCTGTCCGGCCGGAGCGAAGGTGAACTTCAGCAAGAGCTTGACTGGGTCTTCAGGCAAAATGAGCGGGCCGCGTGGAATTCTGTCGAATTCTCACGCAATGAAAGCGGGAAACATCTTGCCCGCAATGCGGCACGCTACGCCTCCAGCACTTTCTATGCTTCTCCCGCCGCCCGCGAGGGCGAGCAGTGGGGCAGCACGGAGTGGGATGACTGGTACAGCGGTGGTTGGAGCAGCTGGGGCGGTAGTACAGGCAGTGGCCAACAGTCAAATTGGCGGTGGCGTTGAAAACGCACCCGTCATGGAGTTGCATGTGCAGATGAATCCCGACCGTTCTTCCCTCTGTTGTGTTTCTGTTTGGCAGCTTTGTGAAAGGCCCCTTTGACACGCAGAGGGGGGTGAAGAATTCAATCGGTCAGTTTGTGGGTTTAACATCTATTGCATCCGCAGTGTGGCTGTTCAAGCGTGAAAATGTGCGAGCAGCGCACTTGGACGGTTTGTTGTTTCCTTTTGGGCCCTAAACCGGTAACCCTTGAATCTATAGGTTTAGGGAGAACCCCCTTGCCAGACACGGGTGCGGAGATCCGCCTGGCTAATTCTTGATCGTGGTGCCCCCGGCCATGGCCGTGCATATCTTTAGAGCCTCCGGCTCAGTCTGCTGACATTGCACCCCTGCGTGTCCTAAGTTCACCTGCGTTAAGCCGAGGCAGGGTTTGCGTTGCAGCGTCAAGAGTTGCCTGTATTTCCGTGCACTGCCTCTTCACTACCCCTTTCGGGTCGCTTTACTACCCCTTCAAATCCCATGCGTGTCCCCGTGAAGTCCCCTTGATTTTCCCTTCACGTCCTTTGCATTGTCCCGATGTTTCCTTTCATGTCCTCGTCATCGCCCCTTCCTCGGTAGCATTTCTTGCCCACGCGGGACATTGATCCTGCCACCGGCGCGCAAAGATGTCTGCAAGCGTTGAAAATGAGCCGGCGCCTTGCCCCGCCGCGCGCTGAGAAGATCGCGCGTCGCGCCAAGGCATCGTGGGGTTGGTGGGGTTTTCTTCGCCTTTGTTTTTTCAGCAGGTTTTCGCCATTTGCAGCCAAGTGGGCAGGTTGCGTGGCATGGAATCCAAGCATTTGACCATGATGCTCGAAGGCAATGGGTCTTCACCGTGGTTTAGCAGTCTTGCACAAAGCATTGCTGCGCTAGCAACGGGGGCGAAGAGGTTCCATTGGTAACTTTAGAGCCTCCGGCTCAGTCTGCCCGACATTGCACGTCCGGAAGGGGTTTAAGGGGGGAAACATATCGTTTCTTAGGTGTCCAACGCGCCGAACAATGTTGGTGGACTTGTTCCAGGCGGTTGAAAGTTCTTTTGGTGGTTTTCCAACCGATGGTCATCCCATGTTTATTGGACCTTGTGATCGACCCCCAAATGATTGTCTTTCGTGAGTGTTTCTCAAAATAGGAAAGCTCGTTTGGGCCAACGGTTTCAAGAGGAAACCAAAAGGCCACGATTTGGCGATGGTTTGATGCAGGTCTTAGACTTTGGCAATGTCTACGTCAAGTCCACTGTGGTCAAGTCCTTCTCTGTCTTCAACGACTTGCCTCAGGCGGTCTGCGCGTCTCGACGCGCGAGGACGATTTTGTGCAGATTGGGATAGCCTCAGGATATGAATGAATCCTTTCAGCCGAATGTGTTCTAGTTGCCGCAGGTTAGTAGTTGGCCAAATCTTGCCCAAGACACTGCAGCTTTTTGGGATCGCACAGTTCAAACCAGCTTCTGGCAGAATCCACCAGCAAAATATGTTCCAGACCGCACTTCACACAGTTCCATTTGTTCGATTCCAGTGCTCTACTCTCTCACGTGATAGCTGTGTCATGTCCAAGTCTGGACGTTGTTCGGTAGATGTTCATGGACGTGGGTCAAAACCCTGTACCCCCAGTGAACATCCATAGACTAATATGGATGGTGCACACTGCCCCAAAATGGGATCCCATTGGTTGTGAACCATGGCCACGTCCGTAGACTCGCCCTCCATTCGTCTCCGCGTCACCCGGTTGTTTTTTTCGCGTCCGCCAGGCCATCCTGGTGGCCATGCAGTATGACGCCGAGGAGCTGAGCCGCTCCACCCCGAGCTCGCAGGCGAAGCGGGTCGGTGTCGGCGGAGTTCCGACTCGACCGGAATCCGAAGAACAAGCAACCAACCAACCAGGGGAACCAGACCTAAACCAGCCCTGGGAAGAAAGCACACCTTATCCCAAATGTAGATCTCTGTAAATGCAAAACAAGCCATTGTACCAGCATAGGCCCCAGATAGCAAAAAAGATGCCAAGGCAGCCCAAACAGCAGCCCAAGACTTGCAACCCCTGTAGCTTTGTGCTATCTGGAAACATCCGAAACATGACGAAGCTCATGCCGGTTTGATGCTTAAAGACAGTCTTGTGAAGCGGAGACAATGCTGGAGACGAAAACCAAAGTTTGAGGGTGTAGCTTTTTGTTTATGTAAAGGGTTGCTCATTTTTTTTTGAGCGCAAGATGCTTAAGAAAGAGAGGCAACAATCAACAAGTAGGGTGGTCAAGAGTTTAGCTTGAGGCTGGTGGTCATTCCGGCTTTCGGACGTCAGGGAGAAGGGGATTTGGATAGATGTTCGGTCAGATTTTCGTAGTAGGGGGAAGTTGGCGAGAACAACATGCCGACGAAGACTGAAGCATAATCAAGATAGGAATGAGGCGTTTGATATTTGTGGGGTGGGCCTTTTAGGGTTTAGGCTTTTAGGTTTTAGGTGTGTAGGATGATTTTGGGGCTTTGGGCTTGGGGTTTCTGGATGTCATGGTTGAGTTAGGGTTTAGGCTGACGATTCAGAGCTTTCTTCTCCATTTCAAGTGCCATGTTGAGCGTCAAGCAGGAGTTAGGTCGTCAGGAAGCTTGAAGCGTCAGCGGAGTTTCCAGGCCACATGTTTGGTTTCAAGCAGGTGTTTCAACCCTGCACACCCGGGACGTCATCAACGTTACACACTGCCCTTGTATTAAGTTTAGGTGGAGTATTTGGGTGTGTCTTTTTTCAGGGGACCCCCCGTAAGTGGGAATAGTATGTATTACATGACTGGGCGGTTTTGTCAGTCATCCACAGTCTGTTTTTTTTTTTTTTTTGAATTTTTGCAATTATGTAAAGTGTTGAGCAGTAATCTTCCTGCAGTCTTTCTTCAGTCTTGTGGTCCAGAATAGATCCCTGGGACCCCCCCCCCCCACTTGCTTGAAAAAGTTGAAAAAAACACGGTCTGGGAGTTTTCATTTCTTTTTTGCTTTCCCAGAATTGACAAAAAACACAGGAAACACATGAAGAATCCAGGGAGTCTCTAGGAAGACTACGGGAAGAGCTCGGATGGTGATGTTGATAAAATGGGAATGATGATGCAAATGAAAATGATGATGGACATGACGATGACGAGGATGATGATGATGATGACGATGATGATGATGATGATGATCATGATGATGATGATGATGATGATGATTATTATGATAATGATGATGAACATGATGAAGACCATGATGATTAAAATGATGATGATGATGATGATGATGATGATGATGATGATGATGATGATGATGATGATGACAATGATGATGAACAGGATGATGAAACATGATGATGAAACATGATGATGAAACTGATGATGAACATGATGATGAACATGATGATGAAAATGATGATGAACCGATGATGAAACAGATTATGAAACAGATGATGAAACTGATGATGGTCGAAAACAATGATGATACTGATGAGGAACATGATGATGAAAACTGATGATGAGAAGGGTGATGGACATGATGAAAATGAAGATGGACATGATGATGCAAATGTTGTTGATGAAAATCTGATGATGATGAAAATCTGATGATGATGATGATGATCATGAACACGATGATGGGGGGGGCAGCCTGGACCCCCTAGATTTTTCAATTTTTCAGTTTTTTGTTTTGTTTTGGCATGCTTTTGAATTCTTTCAATAAACTGAAATGATTGAAAAAGTAAAAATCCGTAGTCTTTTTTTTTCAATTATTTCAATAATTGACTCATCGTCTTCCTGCAGTCTTTCCTCAGTCTTATGGTTCGGGCTTGACCGCTGGGACCCCCGCCTTGATTTTTTCATTTTTTCTCAAATTGTTTCAATCGTTTCAATTGTTTTAATTATTGAAATAATTGAACAAATGAAAATACAAGAGTACGGATTTGTTTTCAACTTTTCAAGTTTATTGAAAGAATTCAAAATAATGCCAAAATCAAACAACAACTGAAGAATTGAAAAATCTAGGGGGTCCAGGCTGCCCCCCCATCATCGTGTTCATGATCATGATCATGATCATCATGTTCTTCATCATTTTCATCATCATCATCATCATGATCATCATCATTTTAATCATCATGTTCTTCATCATTTTCATCATCATCATCATCATCATGATCATCATCATTTGAATCATCATGCTCCTCATCATTTTCATCATGACTTTTTATGATAATTTTTGATCAGCATTTCCATCATCCTTTTCATGTTCATCATGATTGTCATCATCATTCTTTTTTTCATCATGACCATCCGAGCTTTTTCCGTAGTCTTCCCAGAGACCCCCTAGATTCTTCATGTTTTCCAATGTTTTAATTGTTCAATTCCGGCACCATGATTTGTTCAGCTTTTTCACTTCTTTCAATTTCAACCCAAAGAAAGAAATGGAGAAAGACAAATCCAACGGAGGATGAGCAATTTGGAAACTGATCTGCAGCCACTCAGCCACGCCACTCGGAGTGCCTGAGTGGCTGAGTGAGTGGCTGGGGGCTGGGTGATCGGGGTCAGAGTGGCTGAACTCAGCCACTCAGCCACTCTGACCCCCAGCCACTCAGCCACTCAGCCACTCAATCATAATATATTGATATTCTATCCATTTCATTCATCGTCCTATTTTACATACTTTCATCACTTACCTCTTCCTAATTTATTAGGTATCTATCTTGCTTTCTTATATCTATTTCTCTTGTGATCATCATGCATCATTATTTTCTTGCTAATCTGGTATCTCCCACAAGTAAGTCTTGATTGCAAGGTAAAGCGAATGGACAAATACACATCATGTCCAAAGTCTAGAATTACATGCTGTCATCATGGCAGCACGACAAAGGGAAATGGACAAGAAGCGTGGAATGCAAAGGGATGGACAGGATAGGTGGAGTCTCTCTTCCTTCATCCCCCTTCTCATGTCCAATTACCTGTTGTATAAAGAAAGCCTTAGCATCAGTATCAAACTCTTGGATTTCATTGTCCTTTCCTTGCTCTTTTGTTATGTGACTCTGTCTTCATTTCTTAGACTATAGACATATTATCCGACGATTGGTCATGAATAATATATTATACCCATCTCACTTATCTTCCTATTTTATATATTTGCGTCATTTGCCTCTTTCTATTTTATTGGGTATCTATCTTGCTTTCTTATAGCAATTTCTCTTGCCATCACCACCTACTATTGAATAGCCGCAGCTGACCTAGGCTAAATGAAGACTGAAAAGGGCGCGGTCGCATGATACGTATAATTCCCTGCCTCTCCCTCCCTTCCCGGGCCCCCCAACATTTCTTCGGTTATCCTTCTAGTTTCTCTTATGGTTTACCCCCAAAAACAGGGATACTTAAATGGGCGATCGGGCTCTTAGCCTGGTTGTTACCCACATACCCGACGTACCGAATCGATCGCCCCTTGAAGTATGCGACTCAAGCAAAGAGACGAGGGCCATTTCGGGCCTTTGGGCGAAGCGCCGCGAGGTGGTGCCCTCTGCTCACGCTGCGGGCTTCGACGTCTCGGTGTGCTCAGCGTCGCCGCAGACCTTCCAGCGCCAGGAGGGGCGACGGAGCCGAGAGCCGGGGATCGACGGCCGAGTGGCTTAAAGGGGCGAGCGAGGCACGCTACGTCAGGTAAGGGGTGCAAGGTTTTCTGGTTGCAACAAAATTGGTTATAACGGAGACTTGTAACCATGGCTTTTGTGGGTGATATCTATGATTGTTACCCACTTACTAAGTACTCCTCAGCTATGGGTGGCTCGTCTTTCTTTGGGATTCGGACCCCCCCAAAATGGTGGTTTTCATTTTGGCATTCCTTCAAAGCCACCAGAAAAGGGGTACCAACTCAAAAGACAGACCCATATTTGTATCGTGGTAGGTGGTGTACACGATCAATGGCATTCACCCCTACAAGCTGCTGATCAAGGCCGGCTTCAGAAAAGCACTTGTATCTGTCTGCCTCGGCCTGCACAAGGCCACGATCACGCCAGTGCAGATCCGCATGTCGAGAGCGGACATCAACTTCCGTTTTGGCGAGGACAACTTCTCATAGCGTTTGAGGGTTTCCGAATCACCGATCCCAAGTCTAGGACAGTCTGGAGAAGACCTTGACGGAGAAGCTGCCCTGCTGCAGCGAGCGTCCTTTCTCATGTCAAGCCTCGAAGCTAGAATACGTCACAAGCACACATACAGTACAGACCTAGTTGAGGATTCCAGACATTGGTAAGAGTGCGCGGGCTTGATTCGTTGGTGATTTGATGTGATGCACCCGCCCAAATGGAAAGTAAACGGAAGAGGGAAGGGCAGAATGCCGCATTCCGAAACATTGGAAGCCTGGACATTCAGCTTTCATCGGCCAGGCTGGTGCTGGACAACCCTGGCAATGCACCTGCCAAATTCAGCCTTTGCCTCAGGCATAGTAAGGCCACACACTGCGATTTCAGACGTGTTTGTCAAGATATCACTTGCTGTGCGTAGATGGTGCAGAAGGATCGAGCATGCATGGAAATGTGACCGCGACTCAATTGCATTGCATTGGACAAAGCTTCGGACCACCAGAACCACAGCTTCGGGCCCAGGCCATCTTTTTTTTTCATCGCAAATGCAGATGCGGCAAGAGACTTGGGATCCTTGAGGCTGGCAGGGGGCCAACCAGTCCTTCTCGGTGTCACCGGTGAGCGGTGTCATTCCCCGTGGTGGCTCTCAGGGGGTCGAGGCGCGGGCTGTGAGGTCTGGGCTCCTGGGTTTGGAAACGATTTGATCCCTGGTTTCCAGTACCAAGCCGAAGATAGTTTCGGGGGTTTAGTGGGATATACAGCCACCCCAATGTAGACTGGGGGTGGGGCTCTTTTCAGATCCGAATATGGGATGGGCTCTGGGGTGAGGCCACAAACGCCTTGAGCAGACGCACCTTGGGCACGAGAATTCCGGCAGGTCACCTTCACACCGCCCAACAGCGGTCAGCTCATGGAGGGCTTTCTCACGTTGAAGGCGAGCGTTTCATTTGGAAGCGGGAGGTGAGTTTGCCTGGTCTAGTTGCCAATTGTACCCTCTTCTCTGTCTCTGTCTCTGTCTCTCTGTCTCTTTCGTTCGTTTTTTCTTCCTCTCTGTCTCTGGGTGTAGTTGTCAGTTATTTTCGTTTGCAGTCCTGCCATCACGCTTTACATGCCTTGCACGATGGGAAGCTTCGGGCTTTCACAGGGTTGCCGCTTGGAACATGCCTTCACGCCCACTCCTTAGAACTGACACCAAGTCTGATGATAGTGATGGTACCTGTACAAGCCGACACAGGTTTGCTGCCCGGCTGTTTGTTAAATGACAGGATTACGAAGTGTCAGCACTCAAGACCAAACAAGGTGGATACCTGTCCGTGCTTGCACTTATCTCTTTCGTCATGCATGACAGATGACATTCATGCTCTTTGCAAAACGTGATTTCGCCAGTTTAGCAGCTATTATTTGCCTATCTCGTCCTTTTACCTTCACACATCCATTATTGTTATAGCGGACTTAGTAGCTGGATCGAACTTATCTTTTTCGCGCGTAGTTTTTCAAGGTACTGTATATTATGATCCGGCATTTGCAATGTTGCTTGCTGTTTGGTCGAACAGGTCGAGGATGGCAACGACCACAGTCTTCGCTGCGTTGGTCAAGCCCCGGACGCGACAATCAACTTTGGCGTGAAAAGGCGAGTACGCAACACCTTGAATGTTAGATGGCTTGATTCCTGCCGTTTTGCAGTGCTTCCTGTGTGGTGTTGAGAGGATGGAGCTGAGTTGAAAAGACTGTCTGCCCCTGGCAAACAAGCAACACTGCAGTATTTCGGGGGCTTTGATTCAGAGAGAGAGAGAGAGAGAAAGACAGAGAGAGAGAGAGAAGAGAGAGAGAGAGAGAGAGAGAGAGAGCGAGAGAGAGAGAGGCGATGGATAACACGCCAGCACATGATTAATTCTTGTCAGGTTGGACTTGGGCGTGCTTGCCGTGGGACTTCCTGCAGACAAATCCATCCCCATCGTCAACGGCTGCTCATTTGACTTTGGCTGCGATCTTTGCTTCTACACAGCTTTCGAAGTTGGTGATGTTCGGAAGCCGGAAGCCCTGATTGCAAGCGGATTTTGCAAGCAGACATAGGCAATTGCATTCCCTGGGCTGTCTTGATTCATCCAAGGCGGCAAGAACGTGGCCGTCTACCATGTCGACAGCGTTCCAGACGGTGTCGGCATATCGCCCATGCGCGGGCGCATCTCTCCAGAGGGAAGAGTGGAGATCGACGTCCATGTGCTGCTGGATAGGCCAGGTTTGGCAAGGGATCCAGGCATTGTAGAGGGATGCATACCACACAGCGGCATTGCGATAGATCGAGGACCAACTATTGCATCCGAAAAAACGATGCAGCAAGATAGCATAGATAGCATAGATCTCCATGTTCGGAAGCATTCTGCCGCCGCTTGTTGCGCTCCCCAAAGGCACTCCGTGCATCCGGACATGTTGGGCTTAGGGCGACTTCGTGCCAGGCCGATGCAGCTGGAGTCAGCCGTGACGCTCAACGTGCGCGGAGGTCTCGACGTCCGGTGGGTCCAGATCGATTTCCGTCCCGGAAAACCTCGATATGCAAAGGCTAACGGTCTAAAGGTGCAAGCAGTTGAGAACGGACACCAGGCATCCTGTCTACTCCATCACACAGGTAACCGATCTTGCAGGGTACATAGGACAAGTTGGACCCTCCCACAACGCACATGTGCAAGAGCGTGTGTCCCACACCGCACTGATCACGGCAGTGGTCGGGAGACTTGGTCAGGCAAGCCGATTCGCCTCCCCATCATGGCCACCGCTGTGAATCCCAACATTGAGTTTATGGAGGCATCGCTCGGTTTCTCGGGTGTGTCTTTTTTTGGGCCCACTCTTTTTGTTTCTTTGGGTCTTTTTGGTTTTCTTTTAAAGCCACCAAACAGGGGGTTCCCCTAAAGGCGCACAGGACAGACTTTTGGTTTCGCAGGACGAGATTGAGTTTGGACAGCTCACGCTGGGGGCGCAAGGCTGGGGACCGTTTGAAGTGAAGCAGCTGGTGAGATGGTGATGCTTCCGAGAGTCTGAGGCGTTGTGCCCATCTCTCTGAAGAATTCCTCGGCAGTGGAGGGAACCCATTATGCTGCCTGCTTGGAATCATTCACAGAGATATCTGAACAAACATGAGAAGCATTCCTGTCAGTTCTGTGCCTGAAGCCTGCTGCTTTGCCTTGCACTACATGGATGTCAGCTCAGCCACAGGTCAATTTGCAGCCATATCCGGAGTTCAGCCTGTCCCTGCTGGAAGAGCGAAACGAGGAGACCGCCTCAGCTTTGATGGGTTCTTTTCAATTGAACCCAGCAGCCAGATTTGCCTCAAAGATGCCCATTAGAGTTCAGATGAGCGACGTTCTAAAACCCCTGCACTTAAAAGTAGTATTCGGGAGGAAATATCGATTTCAAAATGTTGACTTTTCCTAGGTCGCGGAAGCGCCGTGCAAGGTTCGCGGAAGGGGTTTCTCATTTATGCACTCGCGGAAGCTTCGCGGAAGGGCTACGATTCAATCACGAAAGCAAGAAATTATAGTTTTCCTTCACGAGCGGAAGCAAAACCGAACTTCAATCCCATTTCTCAATCTGCGGAAGCGACGCGGAAGCGATTCCCTCTTCAAACCTCTTGCGGAAGGAACCTTTCATGCCGCGCAAGCTCCACGGAAGCCTTTGCGGAAGGGATTTGATATTTCTCTTGGGCCGCAACTGGGTTTAGAACACTGCTCAGATGGAATATGTTGCAAGCAAGCAACATGGCCGCGGTCCGTTTCTTGGACGAGGTTCTCCAAAGGTGCCGTATTTTCTTGCTATGCGAGATTGGGCTGGTGAGGCTTTTGATGCGGACTATGATGCCACAGCTCTTCAGCCCATCTCCCTGCAGCAGCACCTGGGACACGTTCACAGGCTTTGTGCCATGCATGTGCTGGCGGAGGAAAAGAGAGAGAGAGAGAGAGAGAGCGAACACCGCGCACCGCAAGGTATCAATTGGCCATTGGTGGAGTCACAGAGACCCAAGCTGCCCCCTCCGCGACAATGAACAACAAAACTGGAATGCTGGGGACGCAAAATGCGAATCAACTGGCAGCTCTGCTGAAAGTCTTTGGCATGGCTCGGCAGAGAGGCACGAAGCTGAGGGACCCCCAGGGAACGAGGATGAGGACGAGGAGGCGAACTCGCAGGTTTACAAGATCACGGCGCGAAGCTCAGTTTGGCGACTTGCATTCCATATCTACTCAGTTACCATCACGGCAGTCAAAATCTTTGTGCGCTGGGCGTTTTGTTTTGGGAGGCTACTGAAAGGGGCAGGGTACATAGTAAGTTGTTAGAAAGCCTGGTTGTAGCCCACAAAAGCCATGGTTATACGTGTCCGTTCAGTGGGTTATAACCAGGCCTACTAATCACTTATTAAGTACCCTGCTCCTTGAAGTTTCTTGCAGCCATCGCTTGTGCAACCACACTGCAAATCTTTGCGTGCTGTTTTTGGTTTGTTTGTCTTTGTGGCTACCTAATAGGTCGGTTGCGTGGCCAAGGGTTTTTTGGTCGCAACGAATGAGAGGTACAGCCCAACTACACCTTGCAGATGCAGCTCACCTACAAGCCCACAGACCTCGGCGACTTTGGTTCGATTAAACGGCGTGAGCCATGTTTCGTCAGGTGATCTGCAAGGAGCCATTGAGGCCTGGCATCTAAACCAGTCTGAGACATGAGGTCAGCACTTCTTCGAGTTTCCCATTGTTGCAGCTGGCGGCGGCAAGAGTGAGGGCCTGCGAAAGGCGGGGCAAAAAATGGTTCAATGCTTCAATGCTGTGCACAAGATGATTGGCGGCAGCAGTTTGCCCGGCTGTCCCATCTCTTGATTTGCTTGACAGACTTCGGAAAAACGTGCCACCCGGGCAACTGGATCCAGTGCGGCGCCTTTGGAAGCCGCAGGTGGTGCATGCAGAGGCGCTGAGGCCGCGGATGCTCTTCAGCGCCACGGACCTGAACTTCAAGACCAAGGCGAGCAGAGACTTGAGATGAGCAAACGGGAACTTGGGCGGTTCCCAGCTGTCCGGTTCCTTTGATGTTTCGTTGTCATTTTATCGGTTGAGTGGCTGGGTTTCATTTAACCCACTAAAAGTTACACTTTGAGCAGGGATCTGAGGATCAATGAACTTGGCATCGCTTGCATGAGAACCAGCATTCTGACTTGGCAATGAAAAGCCCGAAGGGAAGCTTTGGCAGGGCTTGCATCAAGCTTTTGAACCTTTCTTTGTTTGACACTGCCTCGGCCACATCGCAGCAGCGAGGTTGTTGCGACGGGCATACAATCGGTGGCCTCCGTGATGGAGCTGGCACTCCACAATGCAGGCCTTGCGGGCATTTGAGCAGAGCAGTGGAGCTTGAACGCAATTTCACAGCCAACTTGAATGTGCCTCCGGACCAGATGACTATCCTATCGAATGGCGCATTGACACTGAGCCGCTGAAGAAGTTTATGGGTGCTACTTGGGCTACACAAGGAGGATGCGGATACACAATACGTACAAACCTAAATACATACGTACGCAGGTGCACACATTGACCTACATACATACATACGTACGTACATACATACATACATACATACATACATACATACATACATACATACATACATGCATACACACATACATACAACCATACATACGCAGATACAGACAGACCTGCAACAACAACAGACAGACAGACAGACAGACAGACAGACAGACAAACAAACAAACAAACAAACAAACAAACAAACAAACAAGCAAACAAACAAAGGAACAAGCAAACAACCATGCATACATACATTTACATTTACATCGACATTTACATACAAGTACACACATATGCGTATATACATACACTGTCTCATGCATACACACATACATAATATACACTATACACATACATTTAAGTACACATGCACATACACGTCCAGACACCATCTACAAGCACATGCACATTATACATATCCACATCGTGCACATCGTGCACATCGTACACATCGTATGCATATACGCATACGTATACGTATACGTCTACGAATACATACACTCTCCTGCATGGCATGCATGGACTACATGATCATATGCATTACATTACATGCATTACATGCATTACCTGCGTTACACGCACTACATTTATTACGCGCATGACATGTGGGCGGGCTTTCTCTGTTTAGAAGTCCGGTACCTTGAAGCGACACTGTTCGTAGATCAACACTTCTTGCAAGCGTGAGACTGGCCCAAACCAAGGTCTTCACAGTGGATCCACCTGGTGGCATTCTGCATCCTGCACAGGAGCACTCTCTTTGTGTGGAAGTCAGCGTTGAGAGGTACTCTGCATGGAATCAGCAAGGATAAGGTTGCAGCTAGTGCGAGGATTGCCTCGTCCGGGCCGCCTTCATGCCCAGTGAGCCGATTGAGTACAAGGCTCGAGACAGGAGCTCATGCCAGAGGCTTCAATGGAGGGCTGACTCGTGGGCTGAAACGAGAAGCCGAATTGTTCTTTTGGAATGCCTTCGCCATTCCACATTGAATGTCGTGTGACAGGCCAACATGAATGTGTACATCTCGCCACCCAGAAGTACAGCGGCCGAATCGGGCGACTGGCCCCGGTGAAAAATTGGAGAGCCTGAATGGACATTTCCGTGCCTATGGATTGAAGCTGGAAGTCTTCCGAGGCAAGAATGTGGACGCCAGTCTTGCTTTGCCTGCGGACGAGAGATGCCTGGTTGCACTCATGTTGAGGCTTTGCCATGGGCCTTGAAAGGTCACTTTGCTGTGGAAGCTGAGGCAAGCCCTACTTGTCTTTGCGGATGAAGGGCCAGGGTACCGTGCCCAAGCTGGCCTTTGACCGCAGGGAGATTGTGCTTCCGCCGCTCGGGCCACAAGAAGGCGAGCTGGCTAGCTCGCCAACAAAGGCCTTGGAGCTCTCCCGGGTGCCTCGATGGGAGCAAACTACAAATCCCGAGGGATGACTACCCAGCTTTCTGAACCTCACCCTGGGTTTAGTCACCATCCCGTGGGTTAACGCACCTTGCTGGAGCTGGTGTTGAGCTGGTGTTCCTTTGAGAGAGGGGCGTTGAGGTTGCATTATTCAAGATGGCACTAGGCAGCTTTGTCGAGTTTTTAGAGATTGTGTATATGAATTGAGGTGTGCCTTGATTGATAGTCATAGCAACTTATAGGCTGGAAAATCGAAGGTGACGAATACAATGGTCCAGCGAGATCTCAATGGTCGTAGCAAATATTGAACTGGGAAAAGACGATTCCATTTTGGCTGGATGGGGCCCAGACAAGTTATGAATGCTACAAGACTGTTTTTATTCGTAGCGCGAACAGTTTCTTCCTTGTCTCAATTCCAAATCTCGTTATCCAGATTTGCCGCCTGCTAAGGGTCGTGCCGCTGGGTATCAGGTCGAGGCCAGTGGTGTGTGTGTGTGCGCGGGGTGGGGGGTGGGTGGGTAATCGCCGTGTTTTGCACAGGGATGGCAATCAAGTGCAGTGGATTCGTAGGACTCACCACGAACTGCACAAAACAGGCTCCGAGAAAACATTGGTAGAGCCAAGCAAAGTAGGGCCAGTCCGCGGTGACGGAGACACACTCATGGTGGACTTGTTGGCAGAGACAGCTCAGCG